TGATAGGTATTAGTGCACTCCATGGTAAGCAAGGCAGAACAGAAGCCACTAGAGAGCAGACCGTGCTTCAACCAGCTCTAGAATGGGAATGACAAGGGCAGACAGGAGAGTGGTACCCACATAACCTCTGCGATTGCCAAAACCATCTTCTTATTGGCTGGAACTTGGTTACTGGTTGAATGACGGGGCCCCATCGTCAACCCTCAGTTACCTGGTTCGCTGGTTGGGGGAGATAGCCTGTGAATGAGGGTGTGTACATGCGCCGAATAAAGGTTACGTACTCTTTGCATGCCACAGAGAATTTATAATAATAACACTCACTAATTGTCTGGAGATTACTTAGTGTGTCATTCACAGACCCCTGCCTAAAATATGAAGAAAATACTGGCCAGAATTTCAACATAAATATAGACATCACTCGACTGGGGTAATTTTATCCTGTTTCCATCTAATTACGGAGTCCTGTCCAGTCGCCTAATTCTCATGCTCTGCAGGACTGCAAATCCAACAATTTCGGCTCCTATTTGAAAGGTTTAAACACAATGTAACCTCTAGAGCAACGAAAATTCTTCCGATTTTCACTCACGTTATTTTGCCCAGTTCAAAACAATGGCGACTCCCCTTCCCCAGCGACGCTCATCAGTTTCGCTGGTTATTTATTTACAAATTAATTTTTATTACCTACAATATATTCCATCAATTTACATACAAAATACACTGTATTTTCAGAAAATATAGTATTTTCCACAGCTGAATTCACTTAACCATTTAATGAGATTTTCAGATTCAAACTTGTAATAAGAGAACTGGATAAATACAAAAAGAAATGATATGCAAGTGTTGCCATCATGGCATCCAACAGACACAGATAAGTAAGACACGTACAACAGTTAGACATCCTCATTCTGAAACATTTTGCTTATACAGTAGGCTTCATCAGTCAGTGTAGGCAACACTGTTTAAAAATAGATACCTTACTGTTAAGAATAAGAATAAAAAGTTTATTTCAGCATCATGCCTGTTTATACTAAGGAGTATAACAATTGGGTGTACATGCCAAAAGCCCCTTTATATGCAGAAAATTTCTGGCAAACATAATACTAATAAAGCACTAGAAGTGCAGTAATTCTGTACATATGGTCATTAGGTGAATTTACAATGAAAACAAGAGAATTGAATAATTGAACAATGGAATGATTAACATTTGAGAGGATTACAGATAGAGTAAGTCTATATTGTGTATCTGTATTCAGTGTTTTTAGTTTATCACTAAAAGCTGGGATATTAGTATGAGGCATCCTGTATATGACCCCAATTGCTATAGTTTTTTTATTTTTTACAGAGAAGTTTGCAAATATATATTCACCATATTCATCACTGAAGGATGTGGTGTTGCAACATGATAGTTCATTAGAATAATGGATGGCAATACCTCCCCCAATTTGTTCTGGCCTGCAGTTGTGGATTGTTGTGTATCTTGGTAGTGTGTAGATGTCTATTGTGTCTTGCTTCAGCTAGGTTTCAGTAAGAATAATACAGGAGAAGGTTGTCTTTAATGAATCTAGGAGTGCCAGGTCATCATAGCATTTACTTAGGGATCTAGCATTGTAATTCAAAATTATAATATGTCTGGCATTGCTACTGAGGATAGTACTGGCTTCTGTTGCTGTGTAGTAAAGGCAGTTGCTTTCAGTTAAATATTGACTAGGATTTAGAGTATATACAGTGCTCGTCACAGCATTATGAAAGATTATAATACAGTGGTACCTCAGGATACGAACTTAATTCATTCCAGAAGGCTGTTCGAGTGCTGATACCGAACGAATTTGTTCCCATAAGGAATAATGTAAATTAGATTTATCTATTTCAGACTCCCAAAAATACTTACAAAAGCACTTGCATAAATACACTTACATAATTGTTCGAGTTTTGAGCTGTTTGTATCCCGAGGTAGCACTGTATATATTTGCACACTTACTGAGGTTTTAATACTTGGTGCTGCATCCTTTACACTTAATCACATCCCTCAGCCATGTAGGAAGACTCTCAAACAAATTCTTGAGGGTTTGGGAAGGTATATTCTATGCCTCATGTAGAGCAGCAGTCAGCCACGGGATGAAACCGATATCCTTGCCCAGTAAACTTCGTTTCACTATTGACCAGAGGTTCTCAATAGAGTTTAGGTTTGGGGAATTGCATGACCAGTCATTAAAGAACCTCACCTCTACAGATTTGGTGGTATGACATGGTGCACCATCCTGCATAGAAACTGTAGCTCCACGCTTGTCAAACACCTCAGATAAATTGTCACACAGTAACTCCAGGTAATTATACTGATTCATATACTGGTTTTTGGGAAGCACAATGAGTTCAGCAATACTCTGAGCATTGAAACAGCCCCAAACCATGAGCGAGTCTGGATGTTTGGTGGTCCCATAGGTGTAGCGTGGGTCTAATGGGTCACTACCTCTGGGTTGGTACATGACCCCCACGATTACAGGTGACGGTGAAGGTTGCTTCATCACTCTAATGTACTTCAGACCACTGTTGAGGATTCCAGTGAAGATATTTCTTTGCATAATCCAGCTTATGTTTCTTCTGTGGCTTGGAGAGGATTGGTTTCTTAACCTGGCAGTGACTACTATAGCCCAGTCTGACACACGTCTGCTAACAGTTCTTACAGACACTTCTGAGAGAAGATGTGGGTTATTTTCTTTCAGTTCTCTAGCAGTTATCTTAGGTGTACTCTCTAACTGCTTCTTTAACACAGTTAAGGTATGAGCAGATGTCTTCTTCGGGGGGGGGGGGGGGGGGCAGGCCGAGGTTTGGCAGACAGTATCTCGATAATGCCACTAGCCTTGAAACGCTGCACCCAGTTCCTCACTGAATGCTCACACATGCCAACATTCTCCACTATTTCTTTTATCTGGTGCCCAGCTTTGTGAAGGCCTATGATTTGAGCTATAGTTTCATGTGTTAAAGACTTCCTTTTACCCATAATCAAACATGTATAGCCCCAAAGCCAAAGGGAACACTGGACAAAAGATGAAGTGGATGAAAGACAAAAGTGTAACACTTCCTCTTACCATGGCAACCACGTGAGCACTGAGGAGTCACTGTGGAGTGTGGTGGCAGGCTGTGATGTTATGCTAATGGCTGCTACCCAGCATAATGCACTAATGAAAAAGATCCCTGTGTACAGTAGGCCTTTGATTTTCTTCACAGTCTTATGTAGGGGCGTTCACCCAGCATGATGCTGTGACGAGCACTGTAGATTTAATTCGGGATTGATGTCAGCATTAAGGTTAACTGATAAATATTTAAATGATTATGAATTGCAGAAGGGTGATAAGAGGTAATATTAATATCTGTAATAAGGGGGTGATTGAATAGTAATGGTGTAAATGTATATTGTTTCAGTAGATTGTAAAAGCACCAGACGAGCCTGGGCCCATGGCCGGGCTCTGAGAGTAGTGAAAGTCTCAAAACTCTTCAAAGGTATAAGGTATGTAATAAACATAGTGTTAGAGTAGTAGTGAAATATAATGAATGATTAGGACTAGATATGTATCAATAGCACCTGTCATTGCACTAATGCTATTATAAACTGCACACAATAGACAGTAAAAAATAGTGTATACTAGTTCTATACTAATAAAGGATGGTAAAAGATAGTTACAAATATAAAAAAATGAAATTGTATACCTTTTTAGGCAAACAAAGTGGTGATCTTGAGGTGTCTAATAAGAGCATAAACTGTGAGGTAATGTTTGAACTACTTAGTTCACTGTTGTCAAAATGACAAAATAGAAATATAAAAACTAGGTTTTATAGAGAATAAGTGGATATATAAATTGGGGTATTGTATGCCATTATTATATTCAGAGTGAGAGTCAAGGCACCTTCCAACTTTCAAAACCTTTAGCAATACAAGTATTAATCCAGGTATACCTCTGAGTACTACCACCACCCACCACCAGGACTGTGTTGTGACTGACTCCATAGATTTCTAAAAGCTAGTCTTACATTTTCAAGATGCATATTTGCTGCAGCAGTTAAGGTACTTTACTTGGTCCATGTGTGCCTCAAGCTATATGCTTGGTACAATACTCACCTTAAGGTCCTCGAGTGAGGTTTGCAGCTGTTTTCCCCTCCCCCCAAGCATTTATGCCATTTTGGGTTGTCTTTGACCTTCCCAAACTTCATGTCTTTGCAATTGCTGGGATTAAATTCCAGTAGTCATTTGTCAGTAGCCTGTCCAGATCCATTTATAGGCTTTTCTGGTCCTCTCATGTGCCTGTATGCCCCACATTAGTGTCACGTCTTTGCATGCAGAAAGAATATAAAAGCATGGTGCCATGATTGGAGTCCTACTTTATCTTTTCTCACTTGTGTTCTTTTCAATATTTTCACATTGCCATTAAACAGACACCCATAAAGTGGGTGCTTTGAAGCCACTGAAAGATATGATCCAAGGAATTTGAATTACCCTTTCCTTAGATCACCAAGCACTGTATGACTCGTATGGGTTTAGCTCTTGCTCATGAATATAATCATCCAACAAAGACAAAGGAATCAGTTTCTTCTGCTATGGGCATCTACATTTATCTGAAACAGTTGTGGCCCTTTTGCTGAGCTTTATCTTATGGGTATTCCTTGACTCTCTGAAAAGACTTCACCTTTGCTTGCTCTTCTAGGTTATGGAAACAGTCTCTTGTAGTAAGTGATACTTGCAATCTGAGAAGATGCGCTTCATCCATCCTCACTCTCTTGCTTGGTAATGAAACACTGTAAAGTGTAGTACTGTATTTTCATACATGATTTGTGGTATTTCAAAATGTGAGTGCTCATTCTGTACAATACTGTATAATAATACTGTATTTTAATATGACTTAATTACAAACATGTAAGTGTTCATACAGTTATGTTTTGAATCTTCTTAAACTATCATTTCCCTTTTCTGTTCCATCATGGACTTAAAAATATTCTTATGAAAACAGGTATTTGGGCACCAGCGTTCCCCATCAATGGAGTTCAAGGAGTTAACCAAGAAAGATGCACAAATCCAATTAGCACAGGAGCTGCAGAAGCTACTTGTCACCTGCCCAAATTCTTATAAGGATGTCATACAGAAGGATTTTGAAGGATATGAGAAGCTTTTTGGGCGCTTCATCAATGAAACAGGGCCATCAGTGGAATGGGAGAAAATTCAAAAACTTCCCGAAGGAGCTGTAAGTTAATACTTCTTTAATTGCATTTTTTTTGTACCTTTTTCTTAATATTTGGTGGAAATAGTATTTAAAAAATGCTAATTAATGTGATTGTTCCCACTGGATCTCATGTATGACATTCTTTATATACTGTGCAAATATTTTCATGCCAAGTTAGTCATAATTTATTCTGCTTACATGTGACCCAAATATTTATTGACAGGTGTGGAACTTTTCTGAACTACGTGCTCCGGATACTGAACTTGTGAAAAATATGCTTAACAAATTAGTTGTTGTGAAACTTAATGGTGGTCTTGGTACATCCATGGGTTGCCAAGGTCCCAAGTCAATCATCCCAGTGCGCTCTGAGCTCACCTTCCTTGATCTTACTGTTCAGCAGATAGAGGTGAGTAATGTATAAATAATTAATAGACAAAAAGTATTTGTATTAATGCATTTATTCTGTAGTTTTTTATAAGTTATCCTGTTGTAACTTCTGTAACAGTGTAGCACTAGGCCTGCCACACTCGTGGACCATGGTGTAAGTCCCTGTCCATTTGTCTGTCCACTTCTCAGTCATTCATTATGACCTTCTAAACTGTGTTAAGTATAGCTAGGTCTACATTTGAGATGGTAGAAGTTGTCATTGGCAAGCAGAATTGGTTTAGTTCCTGTGAAGCATTAGGAAGGTAATTGATGTAGATGAAGAACAGCAGAGGGCCTGAAATACAGCGGACCTTCGGGTAATGGCATTAATCCATTCCAGAGAGCTTGCCTTTAACCAATTTGGATATTAGCCGAATTAATTTTCCCCATAAGAAATAATGGAAATCCAATTAATGTTCCAGACACCCAAAAGTATTAAAGAAAATAATTTTTTTTTTACATGAAATATACATTTCCCTATACAGAAAACAATGAGACATGCACAATAAACAATACTGAAATGACACTTACCTTTATTGTGGACTTATTGATGAGTGATGAGATGGGAGGAGGGGAGAGGATGTAGGTGTACTATTGTTTGGAAGGGGAATTCCCTTCCATAAAGACTTCAGGTAACAAGTTCTTTTCTGGGGTTACTTCCCTTCTTTTTTTTTAATGCCACTAGGACCAGCTAGAGAGTCCCTGGACCCCTGTCGCACAAAATATCTGTCCAGAGAGCTGTGTTTCTGGCGTGTCTAAGATTTCCCTAAAATGGAACACAAGAGTTTCATTGTACATGTTGCCAATACGGCTTGCAACAGCTGTGTCAGGATAATTTTCATCCATAAAGGTTTGCACTTCAACCCACTTTACACAAATGTCCTTAATCTTTCATAAAAGCAACTTCCTCACTCTTTCTTCCTCCTCCTCTGAAGCACATTCCTGAGCTGTGATGTGTTGCTGTTGCACCTGAAGCTCTTGCAGCTCTGTAGTGTTAGCTCTTCATCGTCGTCCTCCGCCAACTCTTCTACATCCTCGCCACTAACCTCTAACCCCATGGAGTTCCCCAATGCCACATTAGATTCCACAACTGGCATAGGCTCCTCAGGGTTAGCCCCAAATTCTTCAAAATCCTTCTCTTGCCACATTCTGGCCACAATTTTCTCCAAGCAGATTTCAAAGTCCTGCAAGTCACTTCCTCCCAAGCCTTACCTATAAGGTTTATGGAACTGAGGATACTGAAGTGATCTTTCCAAAACTCTCTTAGGGTCAATTCAGTGTCTGAGGGCCTTAAAGCACTTTTTTAAACACTGCTTTTGGGGTACAGTTTTTGAAGTTTTAAATGACCTTGGTCCATGGTGGAGGAGAGGAGTTGATTAGGGGCAAAAAATTCACTTTTAAAAAGTCATCCTCCAATTTCTTTTGCAAGTTTTTGAGGGGGGCAGGAGCATTTTCCTTACCGGAGGCATTGAGTGACAAATTTATTTTCCAGGAGGTATTTTTTCACAGTGGGGCCAAAATATGTTCATACAACCAGTCAAGGAAAATGTCCCTTAGTGACCCATGCCTTACTGTTTGCTTCCACATCAACACAGAATTTAGTCTTGACACATTGTTTTTCTTGAAAACACTGGGAGGTTTGAGTGATACCACAGTAAAGGCTTCACTGTGCAGTCCCCACTAGCAATTACTACAAAACATGAGTGTTGCTGTCTTTCATTGGCTTTGGGGCCTGGGAGTGCCTTTTCCTCCTGGGGTAATGTAGGTCCTGTTTGGCATTTTTCTTTCCAAACAGGCTGTTTCGTCAAAATTAACACTTGTTGGGGTTTTAATTTTTAGCCCTCTGTGTACCCTTAAAAGTCCTGCACATATTTTTCAGCTTTTTTTGTCAGAAACTAGCAGCTCCACCATTCTTATCACACTGTGTTATGCCACTATGATCCTAAATTCTCAAACCAACTTTGTGGCCTTAAATTCACTAACATCAGCACTAGTTTCAGGCATTTTCTTCATTAGATCATCATGCAACTGCCTTGCCTTTTTACATATTATTGACTGATAAACACTGTCTCCTGATAATTGTTTCTTGTTGATCCACTCCAACAACAGTCTCTCCACATCAAGTATTTGCTATCTGTTTTGTAAGCATACTTGCACCTTTCGCAACTACAGCTTCTTGATTGCCTTTTTGTTGGCCAAGATAGTAGCGATGGTTGAATGGGGTTTGTTGTACAGGTCCGCCATCACAAATCCGGCAACCAGTTATTCGGTTCCTTCAGTTATTCGGCACTAATTTTGGCTAGCATAATTTCAAATTTTCAGGGTTGCCACACCAACCTGCTGGTACTGTTTGATGGCGCTACTTGCTGCATAAGTCATTCCAATTTCTTTTTCTCCATTTATTGTTTTAACCTGCCTACTTTTTAGCCTAGCCATGGTTCCAATGAATAAAAGAAATGCTTCTCATTATGTAAAGCGCCTACACAGTACATTATCTATTAACCCTTTGAGGGTCGACAGGCCCTCTCCGAAACTCGTTCTCAGGGTCGGCCAAATTTCATAAAAAAAAAAAAAATTATTTATTCTTATGAAAATAGAAGTATTTTTTTCAAACTTATAGGCTAACAAAAAAAATTTTAGCGTATTACTTACTAGATATGGAGTGTGAAAATTTTACCAAATTGAAACAACATATGGTAACTCGCCGGAAGCCGTCACCAGGTATTTTTTCTATTTACTTTTTTATGTCTATTTTCAATTTTTTTTCATTTTTCTTTTTCTGAGTAACTTTTTTGGCCTCTGAGGCCACATGATCAGTATCTTGTAAGTTATTTCTTTATCAATACTACACCATTAGGGCGTAAATAACATGTTGTCATTATTTTGTTTAACGGAAAATATTTACACAAACAAAACAATATGAATGTGTTTATTACTATTTTTCTATATTTTTTCTAAACACATTACAGTCAAGGACATGTTTCTAGAAGTTCTGCAGCCTGTGGAACTCCTTTGAAACATGGTTGTCATGCACAGTTGGAGTTTTGCACTCTCACCACTAAAACGAGTGTCTTGGTTGTCGTGGGCGTTTTTTTGTATGTGAACAGACGCTAACACTCTTCTGAGCCTTTTCTTCAAAGCAGTAGCAGGCAGTTTTAGCGGAAGTGGATCACCATGCTTCAGACGAGCAGGTAGTTGTTGATAATTTGGTGGGCGGTCAATTGCAGGTGATTACCTTTGGTACTTGCATACTATTTTGTCTGATGACAGCCAAACAGAATTCGCGTACTGTGGTTTGATTTCTGGTGCCTCATCTTATACATATTATAAGGCATTGGCATGGAATGTCAGAAGATGGAAAAATAAACAGTTTGATGTACCACTTTAACTCTTGCGAACACAATCAGCAAACCCTATCTGCATGTAACTTTTGTCCACTGAATGCATGTTTGAAGGTTGTAATCACTCCCAGCTGCAGGGTTTTAGAATGGTCATTTCTCTCTCTATGCTGCCGCCACTGTCTGCCATTTCATTAGGGTGTGAATTTGATGACAACAGTGTGACATCTCGCTTTGTCATTCCACCGAAATGCCTTGATGTCATTGGCAGCAAACGCCTGCACCTCACCTCTGCGAGTGCCAGCATCAAACCTGAGGCATATGTTTTCGATTTGCAACGCACTGTGCCACACACAATCTGTCATGTTCCCTCGCAAAAATTCACTGAGTGAAGGGGGCTTGTGTACAGTGATCTGTATATAATATATGCCTTACAGGTATGGTTCTATCATTTTTTTTATTCGACCACATCACCTGAGATGACCCAATAACATCCTGGTATTTTGCAATGTATAACTTCAGTGTACACAATAATATCAATACCAGGACACTGTAACAATCACAATGCAAATATATTTATATACCAAAGCGTTTCCTCTTGCTTGGTAGGTACTGCTTGAAAGTGAGTCTTCTTTGAACAGAATCACAAGATACTCGTCAATTACAAGCTTCCTGAAGGGATAAAAATGAGTACTGAATTTCTGTTTCACGATACACAAACACATTCCTAATCTTATATAACTGTCAGTTAGTCAGGCCTGGTTTTTATCTGAGAAGTGAAGCCTACGTAACATTAGCACAATCGATTCACTGGCTTGTATATCACTGAAACCTGGTGTTGCCAATCAGGGGGTCTGTTGGACCAGTAGGATCTTCTCTTTGTTGCTTATAACATGTGCATAAGCATTATTGTGGCAAAGAAAGTACATCTCAGCACAGTGGCCTCCTTCCATTGGTTTGTTAGACGTGATTTGGTGAACAGTATTGTGTTTGCCATGTTTGTCCTCGTAGTATGTGTGCTTTCCATGACAATACTTTTATCAGTGGTTCGTTTCAAAGAATAACTCAAAAACATTTCCATTCTGTGCATTTTTCCCAGTGCACAAGATGGCCGTATTCCACTTGGCTGCCATCAAACTGGTGGGGATTTGGACAAAATTGGACAGCTTCCTGCAATCCCAGTGCGGTCTGCTGGTGTGTAAGGACAAGGACAGGTGGTTGTGGTTGTGGAGGTTGTGGTTGTGGAGGTTGTGGTTGTGGAGGCTGTGTGGTGGGGGGAGTGGGGGATGGTGGCCTTTGTTCTAGATCAGCTGAGGCAGCGGCGTCGTGGCTGGCAGCGTGGGTGTCAGCATGGCCCACTGATGGTGCTCACCGCCGGCACACTACCACCACGCACATTTGCCATCCCATTGCACAGTATCTTCGAATTTTCACTGTCTGTTCCGTTGTGTACTGCACGGGATGTACTCGAGATACACTCCTTCCCTTGCTATAAATATGGGCACACTTCAGAGCGCTTATATCGTCGTATTATAAGACGCTTCACTGGGAATTATTGCATTTCACGATCACTACTGGAACTAGTTTGAAGAGCTTGTAGTTCTTATTCACTATCACTAACATTCACCATGCTCTATCTGAG